CTCAACACTTTGGGAGGCCGAGGCAGGCAGATCATCTGAGGTCTGGAGTTCAACACCAACCTGGCCGACATGGCGAAACCCGTCTCTACTAAAAACACAAAAATTAGCCGGGTGTGGTGGTGCATGCCTGTAATCCTAGCTACTCCGGAGGCTGAGGCACGAAGACTGCTTGAAGGAGGTGGAGGTGGCAGTGAGCCGAGATTGCGCCGCTGCACCCCAGCCCGGGCGACAGAGTGAAACCCTGTCTCAAAAAAAAAAACAAAAACCTGTGAACAACCGATTCTCTACTGCACTGCCAGATGATTTTGCTCAAGTGCAGGTGAATAACTCTAAGTGTTCTGAGCACATTTAAGGTAGGCTAGGCTAAGCTATGATGTTCAGTAGGTTACGTGTATTAAATGTATTTTCAACTACAATAGGTCTATCAGGAACAGAAACCCATCATAAATGGAGCAGCATCTCTCTCTCTCCTTCTCTCTATATAATATAAATATATATATTCATCTCTCTAGACTGAGCTTTGCCTTCACCTCCATCCCCTGAAGGCTTTCTCAACTCTAGCTCCCACTCCCTGGAATTGCCTCCTCTCGTCTTCCATAGGACCCAGCACTTGCCTAACTGGACTTACTAACTTTTCATAACTGTTCATTTACATGTTCACATGCCACCAAACTGAGTTCTTTGAAGAAAAGAATTTCAGCTTAGCTTAATTTTGCAGCCCAAATGCTATGCCTGACACTGAGTAGACCCTCAATAAATGCTTGGTGAATAAATAAAATCAAACCGTATGATGGCCAGGCACGGTGGCTCGCGCCTACAATCCCAGCACTTTGTGAGGCCAAGGGAGGAAAATCACCTGAGGAATTCAAGGCTGCAGTAAGCTATGATCGCACCACTGCACTCTAGCCTGGGAGACAAAGCAAGACACTGTCTCTAAAAAAAGATAAGAATAAAAATACTTTTTTATGAAATCTGCAGGAACTAGTAAGGTTAAAGGCCAGATTCTGGTTCTTTAGCATTACCATTAAGATGCAAACACAGTCTCTCTTTACCACCTCTTAATTGTAATACTAATAAATTCACAATTATCATGATTCCTATAATCAGGATGCTGTTGTTGAAAGCCAATTACCATAATAGCAGAAACCAAGTCATCACGAAACTATACATATATTTATACACACACACTTATTATTATTATTATTATTTTTTTTGAGTCAGGGTCTTTCCCTGTTGCTCAGGCTGCAACATAGTGGCACAATCATAGCTCACTGCAGCCCAGCTTCCAGACTCAAGTGATCGTCTCACCTCAGCCTCCCAAGTAACTAGGACCACAGGCACGTGCTACCATGCCTGGCTAATTTTGTGTGTGTGTGTGTGTGTGTGTGTGATGAGGTCTCACTATGTTGCCCAACTTCTATCTTCAAGCCATCCTCCACCTCAGCCTCCAGAAGTGCTGGGATTACAGGCATGAGACACTGTGCCCAGACAAATTACCTTCTTGAACAAACCAAACAAAATATTTCACAGAACACTTCTTCCCTAAGGCAAAATGATACAATTTGAAAGTAGCTGCTACACTATCAATTAAAAATTTGCCTTCCCAAGGTTAGATGAGCAAACCAGGACAAAAAAAAAAAAAAAACTTGCAGTTTCACCCTTAGATAAGTGGGGAAAAATCCCTCAACTACAAAGACCTGTCCAAGGGCCTGGCGCGGTGGCTCACGCCTGTAATCCCAACACTTTGGGAGGCCGAGGTGGGTGGATCACCTGAGGTCAGGAGTTCGAGACCAGCCTGGCCAATGTGTGTGGAACCCTGTCTCAACTAAAAATACAAAAATTAGCCAGGCGTGGTGGCAGGCGCCTATAATCCCAGCTATGCGGGAGACTGAGGCAGGAGAACTGCTTGAACCCGGGAGGTGGAGGCTGCAGTGAGCTGAGATCACACCACTGCACTCCAGCCTGGGCAACAAAAGCAAAACTCCATCCAAAAAAAAAAAGCCGGGTGTGGTCGCTCATGCCTGTAATCTCAGCACTCTGGGAGGCCAGGACAGATCACCTGAGGTTGGCAGTTCGAGACCGGCCAGACCAACATGGAGAAACCCAGTCTCTACTAATACAAAGTTAGCCAGGTAAGGCGGTGCATGCCTGTAATCCCAGCTACTCGGGAGGCTGAGACAGGAGAATCACTTGAACCCAGGAGGCAGAGGTTTTGGTGAGCCGAGATCGTGCCATTGCAGTCCAGCCTGGGCAGCAAGAGCAAAACTCCATCTCAAAAAACAAACAAAAAAACCTGTCCAAAACAAAGGATGGGTAGAGGGCAAAAATAAGGTTGAACTCCTTCAGTATAATTCTCTGAAGTTACCTTAGTTAATAAGCAACAAAGAACAATGGTAATGGTAGTTAAACCTGGTATCTTCACATTTAAAATACAAACGCACCCTTTCAATATCCAGACATAGAGCTCCTTTTTTTTTTTTTTTTTTTAACCATACTTCCAAAATGGTTTAGATTCTTTTACACTCTCATTCCTTCAATATTTGTTTAGCACTTACTCTGTTCATGGTACTGTGCTAGACCTCAGTCATGTTATTAAAGGAAAAAAAAAGTCAGCTATACCGCCTGCCCTCTAAAGCTCACGTCCTAAAAGAGAAAGCAGACATTCAACTAATATTCAACTAACTGTTTAACTGTGTTAAGTAACAATGGCGAATACAAGTGTCAATACATAACACAGAATCCATCCCATGCTCTTCCATACCAAAAGTCAGTTGTCTTATAGTTTCCTGCTTCAGAAACCTAATTTCCACTCCACATGTACACCCCTTTCAGCAGTTATTCTGTATAACTGCCAGGTTTCCAACTGTAGCTCTCTGATATATCTCCAGGGAAAATAAAGAAATTAAACTACTTCAAAAGTAATTTTTCCACCAACTGCTTTTGTAGTATCAGTTCTTTACATCTCTCTTATAAAGCATCACATGAGGGAATACAAAATCTCTTTTGAGTGTTTTCAGTCTTTACCCATTTATGGGGAGAAAAGACTTTTTAAAATAAGCATTTATAAAGCACTTACTATCTGAAGACAACACAAGGGGAACGCAACGACAAGAAAAAAAGATCTGTGAGATTTGTGTTCGAGCAAAACCGATCACATGGATTTTTTCCTTTGGATCCACTGGATTTATAATTTTAATATAAGTGCAGTATTGAGTAATTGCACTAGAAGAATATTTAGGTTATAAATGTGTACTTTTTTTCCCCCAAGGAAGCCTCATTATAACTAAAATAATATCAACAAAGTATTTTAGTGAACATTGGACGCTTGCTAAATCGACCTTTGTTTTCCAGGATGATAGGAAGTCTGCTGTCAGATACAGGAACTTATATAATAAAAAAGGGGGAAAGATCAGAACAGAAAATTACATGAAACTTCTGGTAAATTAGGACACCTATTTAGTTGAAAACATAAATCTAGGAAAGATTCTTTATAAGAAAAAGGAGATTTCCTATTACAAACACTGCTCCCATTGAAATAGCTATTTTATTGGCATTTAGAAAGTCAGACACTAGTAAGGAAGAAAATGTTTTCTATGCCAATATTTACCCTGCAGAACAGACAACAAAAGGGGGGTAGAGCTTAAGGCAAAACAGGAGATATCTAGGTTAACAGCCTTCTAAAATGAAAGTTGAAAAGCACTGGCCCGAGTTACCAAGAAGGCTCTGGACCCTCTTTCCACTTAAAATTTTAAGACAAGTCATTCCTCAGTTCAGAATGGTATGGCACAACACTGCCTGAAAGCAGAGAAACATGCTATGTGACCTTCTAAGGACCCTTGCTTTTTTTTTTTTAACTCGAGTTAAACAAAATCCATTATGACTTTTTCAGTTATTCATTCATTCCACAAATGCTTATTGGGTGCCTAGTATGCACATAGCACTGTGCTTAAGCCATGGTGGTCCACAAGAAAACTCTAATGACTTAGGCATTAGATTCTAATGGCGAGACACGCTAAAGCAGCAATTCCATAAACGAACAGAGCGCACATTTAAGGGGGAAAGGGGCACTTAGGGAAGGCTTCTTTGAGGAAGCAATATTTAAGCAAAGATGTGAAGATGAACGGGTAACAACAAGGATGAAGGGTTAAAGCCCATATTTCAGGCTTGGCCGACTGGATGGTTAGAGTCATTTATTGGTAAAGGAACAGCGGATGAGCACCAGATTTGGAGGAAAGTTAACCACCAGCATTTATTTACTGGGGTCCTAGCAGGTTGCCAGGCGCTTCCCAAATTCTTCTAATCATTTTGCGCAGCTGAAGCTATTACTTTCAGTTTACATACACAAAAGAGAGGCTGAGCGGGGTTAAAATGACGTGTCCAAGACGAAATAAAGAACTCTGACTTCTGTATCAGGTTTGTTATGTGCTCGAAAGCCCGCGCTCTTTCCACTCCACAGCTCCTTCCTGTGCACCTCTTTCATCTGGTGGCCCCAGCGCCACAAGCTGCCGCTGAGGAAGTCCCTGCCGGGAGCAGAAGAGGAGGCACCAGCAGGATGGCCTGGCAAGGCGCTCCCCTCCCGGGCCTCATCTGCCAAACGATCATCTCCTCCTCCGAAGTTGTACGCATGAAAGGCGAGTGGAAACTTCAATAAAATGAAGGCGACTGACACAACAGAAGGAACCGCATCCTTCCGGGGGCTTACGAAAATAATAAGTTTAAAAAAAATAGGAAGGGAATTCTCTCGCTCTATGATCACTGAGCGCTCTCCTAAGGAAAAGGAAATCTCTCGGAGGATGCCGAGTCGGGGCGGCGAGCTTAGGATGCTCCCACACTCCCCGACCTCCACTCAATCCCCAGGACCCGCAGGACCCCCGGAGGAACTCCCGCCAGTCCGCCCGGGGCCACGCGGCACAAGGTGACACGGACCGCGCCGCGCTGGCCCCTCAGCCGCCTGGGCGAGGCCGGGAGCAGGGAGAGGGGCGTCCGCCGGCCCGCGGTACCTTGTACTTATCAAAGCCAGCCAGCTGCTCCGGGCTCACGTATTCGTAGCCAGCCATGACGACCCGAAAACCGAGCGCTCACTCGGCAGCGACTCCCGGCTACGAGGCTGTGGCACACCAGCACCGCACCGGCTGGGCAAGGATGGGATGGACTGGGCTGGCGGAGAAGGTAGGAGAGCCGCGCTCCGCCCACCGCGCACGCGTAGCCGCCTCGGCCCCTTTGGCCGCTTCTCAGTGCGCAAGCGCAGCCCACGCTTCTCCCCGCCCACCGAGGGGAGGTTGCTAGCCCGCTTGAGCGGCCCGCCCCCCGACACTGTCGCTGTCCAATCGGCGTGGAACAGGCAACACTAAGTCCCGCCTTCCAGCTCTTTTCGTCGCTTCATTTGCTAGCGTCAAAATTGGTGAGCTGAGGTAAGACAAGAGATGGGGTGAAAGGTCAATTTCCCGGCGGGCTTTGCTCCTGGTCGTGGGGTATGGTGGGCTTTTCAGTGGTATCCTCACTTGAGTGGAAATCTGGGGGATACCCTTTTAGTCCTGGGGGTAGAGTGACTGCTTGCGAGTCGGTTCAGCAGTGCCTCAGGTAAGAGGACTTAGTTCTCCCACTGCAGCGAAGTAAAAGAGGAAGGAGGTCTATTCCGCGGGCCGCTCCCGGCTCCTAGTACGGTGCGCTGCTTGCAGTAGAAATTTAGTAAAAGGGCCGGGCGCGGTGGCTCAAACCTGTAATCCCAGCACTTTAGGAGGCCGGGGTGGGCGGATCACGAGGTGAGGAGATCAAGACCGTCCTGGCTAGCACGGTCTTTTCGTCTCTACGAAAAATACAAAATAGTCGGGCGTGGTGGCGGGCGCCTGTAGTCCCAGATGTTTGGGAGGCTGAGGCAGGAGAATGGAGTGAACCCGGGAGGCGGAGCTTGCAGTGAGCCGAGATTGTGCCACTGCACTCCAGCCTGGGCGACACAGCGAGACTCCGTCTCAAAAACAAAAAATAAATTTAGTAACCGTGGTTAGATGTAGAGAAGGCCGAGCTGCTGCCGGGGCCACGGGAGTCTTTGTGCGGTCAGCAGAGGGACTTGAAAGGCAGGTGAAAGGACGTTGGAGACAAGGCCCTCAGCTCTATGTTGCTTAGGAACTTTGGACCGCCTCATCGCACTCCGCTCTATCAAACCATTCCAAATTAAGATTGCTGGTGTCTCCCGACCAGATAAAAACAGTGATCTCTCAGTCTCGACGAGGCCTTAAAGGCGTTTGCAAGAAGTGTTTTACATAACTAGAGCCCAGTTAATTGTTAAAAAAACAAACAACAGCAACAAAAAACACTAGGTCAATGGCTAGTGAGTATCTACTAATAAAATTTTATAATAGTTGCTGCTCTTTATTGAGCGCCTTCTATGGGGAGAACTTCACATGCATTATCATCAACACCATAACAACACTGAAGTGAAAGGCATTATTCCCAGTTTCAGATTGGGCAACCTGCCCAGAGTCACTTAGTTACGCAGCTCGGAAATGATCGACCCAACATGAAATGAGATCTGTTTTATGGGAAACCACTACTTCAGGGAGCGTTTCCGTCTCTCTGGGTGTCTGAAATAAGGGCGATTATTTTCAGATACTTCTATGTTCATTCGTTTAACAACTATTTACTGGGGACCCGAGATATGCCAAACACAGTATTATTACTACATGTCTAATCTCCTCTCCTAAAGCATAAGATTCTTAAAAGGTTATAGATAATCTTATACCTAGTATATGGTAGATAATAAGCTTCCCCCCCACGCCCACCCCGCCTTGAGATAGGGACTCACTCTCACCCAGGCTGGAATGCAGTACATGATCACGGCTCACTGCAGCCTTGACCTCCCCCGGCTCAGGTGATCCTCCCTCCGTCTCCCAAGTAGCTAGAACTACAAGTGCACACCAGCACACCCGGCTACATTTTTTGTAGAGTGGGTGCCCGGCTAACCAATCAACTTGAGTGTCCTTTATCACACTTGCCCTCGAGGGCAGTATTTGCATCTTACACATCTTAATTTTCCGCATATTCCATAGCCCCAGGGCTTGCAAATAATACATGATCAATTTTTTTTTTTTTTTTTTTTTCTGAGACAGAGTCTCGCTCTGTCGCCCAGGCTGGAGTGCAGTGGTGCGATCTCGGCTCACTGCAAGCTCCGCCTCCCGGGTTCACGCCATTCTCCTGCCTCAGCCTCCGGGTAGCTGGGACTACAGGAGCCCGCCACCAAGCCCGGCTAATTTTTTGTATTTTTTTTTTTAGTAAAAACGAGGTTTCACCGTGTTAGCCAGGATGGTCTCGATCTCCTGACCTCGAGATCTGCCCACCTCGGCCTCCCAAAGTGCTGGGATTACAGGCGTCAGCCACCGCGCCCGGCCAATATATTTTATTGAATGAATGAGCAAAGATCTCTTTGATAGGGTGTGAAGTACCAGTTTTGAGAAGAACATTAGAAATGAGAGTCTCAGCCAGGCACGGTGGCTCATGCTTTTAATCCCAACACTTTGGGAGGCTGCGGCGCAGGGATTACTTGCTACCAGGAGTTTGAGACCAGCCTGGACAATATGGTGAAACCTCGTCTCTACTAAGAATACAAGCGTAGTGGCACGCGCCTGTAGTCCCAGCTACTCAGGTTATTGAGGCAGGAGAATTGCTTGAGCCTGGGAGGTGGGGTTGCAGTGGATGGAGACTGTGCCACTGCACTCCAACCTGGGCGACAGAGCAAGACTCCGTCTGAAAAACAAAATAAAAAAAAAAACCTTCATACTTGTAAAACTTAGTTAATTGTGGAAAGCCATAAAATGTGACTTCATTGCAAGCTCATAATAGTTCATAAACTGCACTTATTGTTAATCAGTTCAGATACAAACAAACTCAAAATGACATGATTGATTCTTAAAATTTTTTTCTGCCTCTGATATTTTCTTTAAAAGCACTGTTTAAAAGAGTAACTTTTAATTTTGTGAAAGCAGTTACAATTTGCTGCTTCTCTGCATAAGGTTGTAACAAGTTTGAATCAATTATAAATTCATCTGATAATTTATAAGCTGAAGCATAACCCAGAAATTGGTTTATACTTTGACATGTTACTGGCTGTGTAATCCCAGACAACTAACTTCACTTAGTCCCAGTTCTCTTTTTCAAAAAGAGGGCATTTGGGCCGGATGCAGTGGCTCACACCTGTAAACCCAGCACTTTGGGAGGCCGAGGCAGGCGGATCACGAGGTCAGGAGATTGAGACCATCCTGGCTAACATGGTGAAACCCCGTCTCTACTAAAAATATAAAAAGAAAATTAGCTGGGCTTGGTGGCAGGCACCTATAGTCCCAGCTGCTTGGGAAGCTGAGGCACGAGAATGGTGTGAACCCGGGAGGCGGAGCTTGCAGTGTGCCACTGCACTCCAGCCTGGGTGACAGAGTGAGACTCCATCTCAAAAAAAAAAAAAAAAAAGAGGGCATTTGATCCTTAGATCTAATTTGATCCATTAGAACCTATTAGGTACTAAGATCCTATTCATCTCTGAAATTCAATGAAACTTTATCATATAACTTCTCTGAGATTAAGTCAACTCATCTGGGTAATCTTGTCTTACCTGCAATGATATGGCTCAAGTCTGTTCAATTAAATTCATACAAATTTAAGATATTAGTCATGCTCCATATAACCACGTTTCTGTCAATGAGGGACCACATGTGGTCCCTTAAGATTATAGTGGAGCCGAAAAATTCCTGTCACCTAGTGACATGGTAGCTTTCAAAATGTTGTAACACAAGGCATTACTCACGTTTGTGGTAATGCTAGTGTAAACAAATGTACTGCACTGCCAGTCATCTAAAAGTATAGCACATACAATTATGTACACTGCTGAATACTTGATAATAAATAACTATCTTACTGGCTTTTGTATTTACTATCGGAACATATCCTGTCATTAAGTGATGCATGACTGCATTTTCACAGAATTCTGTGAATCCTAAACCCAGCAGGCATGGTCACGGGGAAGAGAAAAATGTCATGGAAACAAATTTGCCTTTGGAACTAAGTCACCTTTCTGTTTTCTCGTTCCCAAATTTTATTCTAGGAGGCATTTTTCCCTAAGGCAGCCCAGCTGCGTGGGACTGCTTTAGATTGGCCTTGTCACTCCCATGTACGCTCTACACGCCAAATTCTTGAGTGTAGTTTATTATTGCTTTGTTTCCCTTGTCTGCCTCCTCATCCATTGAAGTTTATTTCTTCTATATCTTGTACACTCAAGATCAGGCATTTTGCCTTCCAGAATAATAATCATAGAAAATATCAATTCGTGCTAGAAACAATATTTTTATTTTTATAATATAACCAAAATAAAGTGTTTTAAATTCCTGGAGTGCCTGTTTTATTTAGTCTGAATAAGAGTGTATCAGATAAATGGAGACAGCCAAAAAAAATTGGAGGTTAATTAAGGACTAATATAGTTAATAACTCCAATATAAGTTACTGAAGCCATAAAAATAGGCAGGGTCTTCCAAAGAAGTTTGTAAAAAGTTATTGATTTAGTTCTCATTTTAAAATAAAAATGAATGCCTTATACACATAAACTCTGGTTCTCAAAGCAGTTTCACACGACTAACGATCCAGAGCCCTGGGCCTGATGGCTGTTCCAGTTATACAGAGTGGAACAATAGAATAGTAACATATCTTACCAAAAGTCACCCAGGAAAGAGGAACACAGGTCATCAGTCTTTTAGCTGAATAATTTGCCACTACACTATGCTTCTACAAGTTGATGGTAAGATGTTTTTAAAAAAAAAAAAAAAATCACAAATCAGTTTTTTTTTTTTTTTTTTTTTAAAGATGGAGTCTTGCTCTGTCGCCCAGGCTGGAGTGCAATGGCATGTTCTCGGCTGACTGCAAGCTCTGCCTCCTGGGTTCACGCCATTCTCCTGCTGCAGCCTCCAGAGTAGCTGGGACTAGAGGTGCCTGCCACCACGCCCGGCTAACTGTTTGTATTTTAGTAGAGACAGGGTTTCACGGTGTTGGCCAGGATGGTCTCTATCTCCTGACCTCGTGATCCGCCTGCCTCAGCCTCCCAAAGCGCTGGGATTACAGGTGTGAGTCATCGCGCCCGGCCCACAAGTCAGTTTTTAATCAAATTCCAGCATGCTGAAAGGCTGAGGCAGGAGGGTCCCCTGAGCCCAGGAATTCAAGACCAGCCTGGGCAACATAGGGAGACCCTGTCTCTATAAACAACAACAAAAAAGGAACTCCCCAGTTACAGTAAATCTTCTCAAGTGGGGTTTTGTTTGCCTGTTTTTTTGCTATATTTTACATTTTTCAATCATAATCCTCCTAGGTAAGAATGTAAAGGGAACTGTATGAGTGGGTCATCAGTCATATTTTTGTCACAGAAAAAGTCTGTGCAATATAATGAGATTCAGCATAAGCTAATACCTCCTACTTCTATGTTGCTGGGGGAGGATGGTGTCTCTGCTATTTTGTGACTTATTCTCAACCAGCTTCTCAGTGGTGTGTGTGTGTGTGTGTGTGTGTGTGTTTGTTTGTTTGTTTGTTTGTCAAGACGGAGCCTCGTTTTG